GAAGCCACTGCCAGACAGTGTGCTCTATAAAAAGAACGTGCAGGTGCAAAAGCTACGCGATGGTCGTATCCTGCAGACGGCCTTCCGTAAAGGCAGTTTCCTCAGAGAACTGCGAGATAACATCGCTTATGCAGAAGCCGTGCACGTGCGTGCGCCAACACCAGCGGCGGGCGACGCCTGTGCGAATGTGTGTGTGGTAGGGCAGCCTGGATCTGGGAAGACATGGACTGCTATGGCAGCAATGCGGAGTGTCTTCGGAATAGACGCGACATCTCCTCCAGAAGGACTAGGAAACACTAGAAGTAGTACAACTAGATCTTCACATCTCTCAAGCTCGCCGTCTGGTTCGAGATCTACTTTCCTTTTCGTGGATGACGTCAGCCTGACAAGCGGTGACGAAACTATACGGGCAGCGGTAGAACGGGGCAGGAACTACAGCTGGCCGCCTTGTAGTTCTGAAAGTGAGACGAGTAAGAGCTCGTTGAGGCTCGACGGCGCACGGTTGGCGGAGCGTCGTCAGTACCTAGTGACTGCTACTAGTATTGATAATGCTGGACAATCTGGAACTTATCCATGTTCCTTTTTGCGGCGTCATTTCATCTTCTACCCACTGACTGCCGGTGCTTGTAGAGGAAATCTACAGCACATCTTCGGCACGATAGTGGAAGCTGCTTTTTTCTCTCCACACAATGGTGTAGTCGGGGCTGGTGACATCCTGGTGACCAGTCGGGGAAATATATCAGGTACTACGATACGCAGTAAGGCAATGCTAGACGTGGAACAGCTTGGACGTATCCGACACGACAGTCTCAGACAGGCAGACGAGTCAAGTCCAACACGAGGTGTAGGAGCTGAACAAGATGCAAAACTAGAGCGAGCCGATAGTGGTGGTCTTTCTTCATCTTCTAGCGATGACGTATCGTCTGATAATTCAGAGAAAGGCAGGAAAAGCGTGGTGGACTCCGCACAGAAAGTGGCACGGCGCAGGAGTCATTTTAATCATCATTTTTCTCTTCCGATGCAACGTCGAGCACAGGCCGTCGCACAAGCGCAGAGGGACACGATTCGTGCTATATCGTCGACAGTAGCAGCAATGTTCGATCACCACACAGCATTGCGTTTGCTTTTGCCGTCTTTCATACGCATCCGTGAAAGGCTGGCGGCTTTTGAAAATGGGGAAATCGAATTAAGGATTGAAATCAATCATGATGAAGTAAAAAGTAAGCGAGAGCGAAAGCGTGAAAATACATAGTCATCACGTGAAAATAGTCATCACGTGAAAATAGTTATCACGTGAAAATAGTCATCACGTGAAAATAGTCATCATCACGTGAATAAAGTACTAGTCATCATCACGCGAATAGAGTACTCAATCTTGTGGTATGCAATCAAAAAGTATCTACTCACACTGATGGATAAAGAACCTGAACCTTGATCACCTCTTGACCTGTAGTTCTAAAGTATAGCAAGCTCTTGGAGATGGTCTGGGAAGACCACGGCCTACGAGGGAAGCGTGATCAACATGGAGAATCTACCACAAAGGACGACAAGAGCACCATGGAAATCCCTGCCAGTCATGGCAGAAATATTGAGCAGGATAGCAAAATCCTCAGCGCTATCACCTGGCCAGAGGACGTAGAAGTCTACTTAGGAGATAGAAAGAATCAGGGAAAGGCGATAAATAATGCAGATGACTACAACCCGAGGACATCAGCTGAACGCGATGAATCGAAGGACAGCACGGGCGCGATGGCATGGATGTCGTCTGCTGCAAGCAAGGGTATGGATCGCGATCTGGTGAAAAGCACATGGGCATGGAAACTGTGCTTGTTTCGATCCTTTCTGTACGAAGCAAACTTCGTGTTTTCTGGTGTGGAAACGTTTAGCGGCTTGAACAAATCCTTTTTGGAACACGGGTATCAAACAGCTAGCCCCGGAAACGCTGCTGCCTTTCAAAAGGCTTTATCATCTCTCGTGAAGAGTCGTCTCTTCTTTGATGAGGCAATGCGGCAGAGAGTGCTGAAACTCTCAGCAAGTACTAGAGGATCACGACTTTCGAGTGGGTTGGAACTTAATGGTGCAGGCACAGGAGATGATGACTTCTCATCAACATGTTCGAGAGGAGGTGAAGGTGCATTCACATCATCAACATGTTCGAGAGGAGGTGGAGGTGCACGAGGAGGCAGCAAGACCACGACTTCGACATTCTCTTCTCTCGGTGTCGCTGTGCATTTTGAGGCGTTCGCCTTACTGGGGCTGGCCGACGATGAGGTCTACACCTCGTTGCCGCGAGAGAGGCAAGCACTGCAGGTGCAGCTACAGGCTGTTGATACAGCCGATTTAGTGGGCGAGCCAGAGGACATCCCGGATCAGCCTGATTTTCTAGACAAAACATTTCTTTAAGACACTCGTGTCGAATTTGCATCTTTATTTGCTGGATAGCTTTAGGCAACGGCCCTTCTTGATGGGTATTCTCTTTTCTACATCTAGATCTACTCCCTAATACTAATTGAAAGAGGAAAACAGTATAAGGGAACAAAGGTGCAGCTACGAATACCAATGATGTGACTGTAATCGCTCTAATTCTTCGCAGGTGCACGAGCAGTAGCAGAAAATGAAGCCGGCGCTTCTTCAAGTATGGCAGACGGAGGTGACGAGGACCTGCTGCTAGAAGAAGGTGACGAGAGCGACGACGAAAAAGCCTGCGTGTACTATGACGCTTATTATCAAGATCCGTGTGACGAGAGCTCCGACATGATCCCAACACTATTCTTATCAGCGTTTCTTGCTGCGAACAGAACTAGCAATGTCGTGGACACGAGGAAACGAGAGGAGGAGAGGGAAGAACAAGAAGGTCTGGCAGGTGTAGAGGAGGGGACCAAGCAAGATGAAGATGAGGCTCACGATGCGTTGGGCAACAACATTAACATTTTGGAGGAAGATCGTGACGATGCTGATTCTTACGCGAGTCTCGTGCGCAAGCGCAAGCGAGCCCGCATACGCAAGGCAGTGCTTACAAGACGTTTGCAGGAACACCTGACGCAGATTGGATGGACAATGCAGGATGCAGCGAGGGAAAAGAAAGAACAACGGAAAAGCGGGGTCGGCAATAGACGAGATAGTACCAGTGCTGCAACATTTTTAGAAGATGCTCTCCTACCGGAAGCTGAAGCGCGAGAAAAACTGTCGCACTTCGTCGTCCTCGAAGAGGTCGCTGCTCGGGTATGCAGACTGGCACAGGTTCTAGCTACAGAAGCGACATCGAGGCGACCTCTAAAGTCTAGTCGCATTCTCGTGGGTCCTCGGAAAAGTGGCAAAGACACGTGTGCAAGGCTTGCAACGGCACTTCTGAATCAAGAAGGTCGTAGCATGGCATACCTGAGAATCCACCTGGAGCGGCCGAATGCGGTAGAGGAGATAATTGATGCGGTCCTCGCAAACAGTTTGTTTGATGAGAGCAGTGCAGCATTTGACACCAACGATCAGCACCACATGCTTGAAGGTAGGGGGAAAGGTAGGGGGAAACACCTTGTCGTGTTTCTCTCTGCTGTTTACTGTGGCGGGAGCGATGTAGGAGACACAGTTTTGCGCAACCTACTGGCCCTCGAGGAAACTTTTTTCCAGTCATCTTCATCTGGAACGAGTCTCGGTGTCGCTAATAGCAAGAACTACGAAGGAACAGCACATCATCAGCATCAGAGAAGCAGGAACCCAAGCAAGACGGGAACAAAGAGCTTCCTTCAGATGAATATTGCAGGGGCAGAGTACCCGAGTGCTGGTATTATAGGTACAGGTAATGCTAGAAGTGGGTGTAGTCAGCCAGGAGGAGGAGGTCAGAAGCAGCCAATCAGTTTCGTCTTCTCATTTACACCACCCGTTTTCCGTCGTTATGTTGTAGAGCGCAACAGCCCGTTGGTTAAGGCATGCACTGTCGAATTCGTAGAAGCGAGCGACAATGCAATGCTGTCGTACGCGAGCCGTCGTTTAGTGCACGCAGTGGTCGATGACGTTGTCCATCGCGAAAAAAACATGCTCCTGGATTTACGATCACATTCAAGGGCAAAGAATCTCCCGCTTTGGCGGAGGCGCTTGCGTGCGGAGGCGCACGTGCTTGGTCGTGACTCAACATCTTCAGGCTATGAAGCTGAGGCGCATGATCTTGGGACGGATTACAACAGGGAGGAAGAAATAGAGGATGAGCAAAGTAGAGCAGCAAGCAATTATACGTTTTCCAAGGACAGACCCACGCTTCTGCCTGCGTTTCAGCTACTGCTTCCGAGATCGCTGGCCACGACTGGTCTCCATGAAGATCCTAGAAAGCTTGTAGAGAAGAGGAAGGATGATATACGTACTCTGAGGACTTGCATTCAGTATTTGGCTCGACATTTTTGTAGCACGATTGGGATTGGCGCAACGAAAGCGGCGGATCTGAATCAGTCAGACGACTTTTCCAGAGATGCGACTCGCTATCTAAAGTTTTTGCAGAGCTTGCAAAACATCCATACTCGACTCATATCGCAAGTGGATAAAGATAAGAATGATACATCACCTTCACGAGAGCAACCTCCCTCTACCTATCGGCAGTACTTTTTTGCCTTTGTTGACTGTTTAGCGGACGACTTTGCAAAACGACGGGCTTTGTTGGATGCACGTCAGCAAAAGGCTGAGGCTGCGCGGAAACGTGTAGAAGCCATACGCCAGGAGACGAGCGCCGCACAAAGGGAGATTGACACCGAGAAACTTAAGGCCTGGTCTTTAGTAAAGGACATCAAACTTGTAAGTACCTTATAAATTCAAATATTATGCTGTACTTCATTTAAGAGAGAAGCATTTCTTGCATTTTCCTGTTATCTGAAACTGAAAGGGAAAGCAATGAAAGGAAAAGCACGGATCAGCATCTCCTGACGTAGTGAATTTGTCCGTCTCCAACATCTAATGCTTGTCCCCTCGTCCAGCGGGTCACACAAGAACTCGCAACTCTCGATGAAAGGCTGGGGGTGGAACGCGCTGCGGCGGATACGGCAACTGAAGAAGCGGATCAATCTGAGCGAACGTGTAGTGACATGATCGCGTCGATTGAGCTAATCAAGAAAGAGACGCAAGCGGAGCTGAGCAAAGCGATGCCTGCTTTGGAGTTAAGGCGCGCCTTAGTTACCCTATAGTTTGTTACTCCATCTTCACAGAAGGCATCCTGGGAGAGACCTTTTCAAAGGGAAAAAGGTCCCTGGAAAATGGTCTTCAATAAATAGGATCCGGATGAATTTCACCAGTAGAAACTTCACGCTCCAATAGAGGAAGCGAATCGATCGCTCAGTAAACTGAAAACCGATCACTTGCGAGAAGTGCGGGCGTTCTTCAATCCACCCAATGGTGTACGCATCACGATGGAGGTCCTGTGCCAGATTTTTCAGGTATAGGAGAGTTCGTCTTCAACAAGAACATGATCTTCATCTTCATGACCATCTTGTTCAGAAAAGCGGACTCCTAGTATGGAGGACTCCAACGTATCTATACCTTAAATACCAGACTCCAACGTATTAATTCGTATACTTCAACTACAATGTACTCCTACTTCAACAACAACATCCACTCAATTGAATGGTTCTGGTATTTTTGGTATAGCCTGAATTTGATCCGAAGGGAAAACAAGAAGAGAACCCCCTTTGGATCAAATTCAGGCTATACCAAAAAAACCAGAACCATACATCAATAGCTCTGTTCGTCTTCAGATTCCTCCCGTCCGTCGCGCTGTGGATACCGGTGAACAGCAAGCTCCTGGGAACAAAGCAGGCGGATCTTCTAGGACTGAGTTGGATTACTGGGAAGCAGCCCAAAAGTCGGTGCTGGCGGACCCTAAGAAGCTTCTAGACACCTTGATGTCGTACGATAAGGATACGTTTGCATCGGACAAAATCGTCAAAATTCTCGAACCCTACATGAAACGAGAAGACTTTGAACCGTTAAGGCTTCCCCTACTGTCAATGCTAATCCATCTGGGCTCAGAGAATATTAAGCTCAAGCATCCTCCGAAGTGGAGGGATTTTTTTACAGGAAAAGCTAAGAAAGAGCCACATCATCAGGATGAGAATGCTTTTCTTCAGAAAATGAAAGTAGATGAAACACGTAGTGAATATGTTGAGCTCTAAAACCAGCCACAGTCAAGAAGTCCAGCGTTGCTTGTGAAGCAATCTGTGTTTGGGCACGCGCGATGTACAGGTACTTTATACTCAATCGGATTCGTACCTTCATACTTTTCACATTCAAATACAAATATTAGAGTAGTTTATAGACGCTGGGCGGCTGGGCTGCGCTGGGTGGCTGGGCGGCTTCGCTGGGCACGCTGGGCGGCAACGCGGGGCACGCTGGGCGGCAACGCTGGGCACGCTGGGCGGGCGCGTGGATAGCACTGAGCGGACTTGAGGGCCACACGTTGGGCATGCCGAGCCTGCGCGGCCGATGGATTTACTTGCGCCGCGGGGACGCGGTGCAGCGCGTCCCGTGAGGCCAAACAAAGGCGGCGCGCCGCCCTCAAGGTTCACGGCAGCGCTGGCTCAGTGCTGCGCCAGTTTGCGCAGTAGCGGGCTGCGCGGTGCCTGCTCTGTTCAGGCTTGCACTGCGTCGCGCTGCCCGATGCGTGCAATGCTGCGCCGCTCTTGTGCACAACGGTAAACTCGCCAGCGTCGTTGGCCTTGGCCTACGCTAGACTAGCACTGCTGGCGGGGTTCTCAAGCGGGCGCCCGAAGGGCGCCCCGCAATTGGAGACGCCCAGCGTGACGCTGGGCGCAGAATGCGGCAGAACTGGCACATTTGGGTCGCCCAGCGACCCAGTGTGCCCAGCGTGCCCAGCCCAGCCATGTTGGGCACCCTTATAATAGAGTAAGGTAAATAACGGGTTTCGGGTTGCTCGAGTTGCAGCGGGTTGCTCGGGTTGCCGAAGCGCAGGGGTTCCAAATCTGGAACGGGTTGCCATGGGTTGCCAGGAGAATCCTGACCCAGCAAAATGGGGCGAAGCCGGGCGGTATGGAGGGGCATCCGTGCGCTCTAAGTGAAGAAATGGAGAAGAGCGCAGTTTCTTTTTTGTTGTTGTTGCTCATGAAAGGGGCAGCCACGTTTGGAGGGCTCTGCAGGCTTTCGGGCTCTTCTTTTGTAGCGTGCGGGCGCGTGTTTGAAGCGAAAACAAGGAGCGCAGGCCCCTGCTCTCTGTTGTTTTTCTTTGAGGTGAGTGGCGCTGTTGTTTGTCGTCTCCGAGTCGTTGGCGATCTCTCCCATTTATTTTTCTTCGGGTGCGAGCGTGGCCAATCTGCTTGGGGGCTGAGAGCGAGTCTCCGCCTGCTGGCTTCAGCGGGCGACGTGTCCAGTCTTGGGCATAGCAGTAAGTATACTGGAGGAGGTTGCTAAATTGGTATTGGAATTATACACGAGCGCGCCGCCATCAGTATGCAACTACGGCGCGGCGCGTGGTCGTGTCGTGCGCTCCTGTTAAGGTCTCTCGTAGGGTCATAAATCTGCGCCCGAAGGGCGCCGCGCAAAAAATTTGGGTTGGCAACTCGAGCAACTCGAGCAACCCGAGCAACCCGACCCGATATGGGTCAAAAAAAACCTAACTCTATTATAAACTGTTCTAAAATATGGATAATATGGATAGTTGATGTCAGTTGTTGGCTTCTCTACCTTTCAATTTGTAGTTGGGCTTGGGTTGCAACAAAGAAGTTTTTGCTTTATACTTACCATTTTCTCTAGGTATGCAGTCGCTTCTGAAAACATCAAACCAAAGAAGAAGAAGCTCCAGGAGGTGGAGGCGGAAAGAGTGGCGTTGAATCGTAGTCTTCAAGTTGCTGTGGAGAAGAAAAAAGTAGCTGCAGAGAAGGTCCGTAAGTTGGAGGCAGCATCAGTTCAAATTGCTGCACGACGTAATGCGGCAGTGTCCGATTTAGAGCGGGAGACACGCAAAGTTGATTACGGGAGGGGGAAATTTTAGTATGTCAATGAGTCCTATGTGTATGTCTACGCCTAGCTACGTCTATGCATCATGTTCTGTGACATGGAAACACTGCCGGATCTCGTCTCTACGGTCATCATGGACGATGATAACGAGGGCCACAGCATCCATCGCCTCAAAGTGAAACTCAAGAGTAGAATTTGTGCTTGCTTGTTGTCCTCCTCGTCTTTGTTACACTTTCCACGCGCACCTGGAGGCACCTGGAGTTGGTGTAGTAACGACACTTCTAACCACAGGAGCGGGAGCAACTGCTTGCTGCGGTTGAAGGGTTTGGGTTAGAGTGTTGCGAAAAAGAGAATTCTTCCACCCAAAGAACTTCTCGCACACTTGCAGCGGAGTCGCTCATGGGCGCAGCACTTCTAGTTATGATACATCGTCTTCGTCTCTTCGTCTTCACCAAGTTGTACAACTTACTAGTGCTCGTTTCTTGCCGTTGTACATCAATGAGAAAAATATAATGATCGTCCTCGCGCCAGTGGTCAATGACAATAATTCCAAGAATTCGTCATCAACTTCGCAGCATCGCTCTAATTCCCTCTACGCGGACACACTCGGCATTTCTGAAAGCGCAGTGCGAGCAGAGGTACGGCGTGAACATGGTGCGACAAGTCCGTCGAATTTCAAGGCAGAGCCAAACCAAGAGAAAGACACTATCGATGCAGACTCTCTGCATACAATCAACGCAGCAGCTGATGCTGAGCCATTGTTCTCCTCGTCCTCACCAGACACCGGCACAGCATCTGCAAGGACAAGTACAACAAGTATGTTGATTTCGGATGATCCTTTATATTGGGTGGGCGCGCACGGATTGCCAGCAGCATTTGTGGACAAAATGAGACGTGTTTGGTCTATGATCTTCGACAATAGTACTAGTCCTAGAACAGGCCATGATCTTCCTCTTCGTGGTGGGGGAAATAGTACGAAGAAGCAAGTACTAGGATCCGTGTCTCATTTCGGTGAAGACAGTGCTGCTGGAGGGACGACGGACACAAAAACGACGAACACACATAACAGTGATGCGACGTCGCATAGTACCTCCAATACGCAGCCGCGCTCAACACCAGCAGCTGACACAGGAGCGAGAACTACAACTAGCACGAGCAGCAGGAAAGTCATCATCTTGAACGATCCTCAAGAGGTTTGTCGGAACTTTCTGGCGCGCTCTTTTCAGCAGGATTTGGCAAGTTCCAGCTTCACAAAGGTCCAGGTCACATGCTTGTCCGATATGGACCTCATTTTCCAGGAGAAACTGACTGGTGGCGGACCTGGTGTCTCAGCACGGGAATCTTGTTCATCGTCGCAGAAGAAAACAGAGCAAGGCATACAAGCGCACAATCCTGACACGACGGTTGTGGAGCTTGATGAACAGGCTATAATGGATTCGTCATCCTTTCCCTATAATGCAACTGTTGCTCTTGCTGGAGGAGGAAAAACTAGAAGTGGCCAGCACCTTCCGACGACTTCTTTTACGAACAGAGGACCAAACCTCATTTTGATCGAGGATAAATGTTGCTCCTCTGCTCCTGGTGCTGGAAATTATTTGCAGACGCTTCTCCTTCGCTACGACTGGCAAGCTGCGTTGGGTCATGATGCGGATCGAGCAATTGTGATTGTGACTGACTCAGATTCAGCAACAGACCTTGCAACTGCAATCGACAGTAGTGTCTTTCAGCGGTTTGACTTTTCGCTGTGTCCTAAGAGCGCCTCTGATGTCCTTCGCCAAGTTCTAAACAGTATTATTTTCGATACCGAAGACGGCGAGACTAAAAGCACGCCACAAGAGCAATTAGAACGACTCCAGAATGCCGTGGAAAGTGCTGTTTCTACTTATGGCAACACTGAAATTTGATGGGTTCCGGTTGCTTTGTAGTTGGGGTGTAAGAATCGTAAGAAATTTAGATTTGTCAAGAGAACTTTGAAGTCCTCATCCTCTGCTTCTTCTGACCGTTCTAACAGCTAGAAACTCTCGCTAGCACAAACAAGCACGACAAGAAACCTCCAGATAGTCCCCTCGCTGTCCTGGCCGCGAAAAACAAAACTAACAACATGAATCTGAAAAATGGAAGTTCTGGCTCTCAAGCGACTGGTATGAACAGCAAGAAGATAGACAGCAACTCATCTTGGTACGATGCCGAAATGGCTGCCCTAGTCGAGATCGCACGTCTCAATGCGGAAGAAGGACGTCTGAGATCCGCAGCTCAGGATTGTCTCTTTCACTTGCAGCTACTTAATCAGGAGGATGGTGGCAGCAGCACTTCTCTGGTTGGAAATGGTGATACCGCAGTCGAAGGCGTAACTGATGCTGATGAAGCGTCATCAAACAAAGTGGATATCGTGTCATCAACAGCTTCTGCTGTGATGGGACAAGGCAGAAAGACGGCGGGCTTGGATAGCGGTATGAACGCGACATCTTCTCGAGCTACATCGGAAAGTGCGACGCGCAAGATTGTAGATATGCACGCTCGAGCTATAGTTGTACGTGACAAACTGCAGAGCTGCCGAGAGGCACTTGATTACTTGAAGAGCGCCGCGGAAGCGCCCGAAGAACGAGGTACAAGAACTAGAGCAGAAAGTACAACTTCACCTTCAGGCTCGAGGGGTGAACAGGCTCAGCTTCAGGTACAGTCAAATCAGAAAACGACATCATCATCAGGAAGTTTCGGTAAAACGCGTAGATCCGTATTGACACTGGCAAACGCTCTTGCGCTGTGGTGGTGCCAGAATCAGCGTGTTTTGCGGTGGTCACGGTTCATAGAGATGGTAACAGATGCGCTGGCAACACACAATCATGAAGACGAACGACAACTGGGCGGCCCTGACCTAGCAACAGTTTTGTACACGTTCCTCCCTATCCTAGTAGCTGGTCGAGACGTCGACGCCCGCACAAGAAATAAGAGTCCATCTAAGAATACTGTGGCTGGAGGACAAAGGAAAGAACAAGAACAAGGAAATGAGGAACCGAAGCTGCGCGCCCTCTGGCAAGAGGCACAACGCTTGCGCAGGGAGGTGGTCGCAGCACAGGCCGCAGATCGTCCAGCGAGCGTTCGACGGCTGCGGCTAGCCGAGCAGTTTCAGGAGGACGCTAATATGCACGCAAGCACACGCAAAGTAAGTCGTGGTAACATCATAGGTCATGATGTTGATGTAGGAGGCGAGGGCGACATGCAACCAGGCAGTAGAGACTCGGCAAGAAGAGGCGTCGTAGACGAGGGCTCCTTCGACAACGAGAATGGAACATCAGCAGAGAAGATGTCAAGGGAGATCCTAGTATCGTCGGGAGAAGCAAGCGATTCTTTTATGACAAGACAGTAGGCACTACACGAAAAACCGAACTCATCCGTAGACGAGTTGTATGCAGTCCTTTTATTACTTACATACACGCAATCTTTCAGTCCAGATCTAGACACGCAATCTTCCATTCCACATCTAGATTAGAACAAGGGCAACGGAAAGTGCCTGGTGAGGACGAGGCATGCGAATGCCGATACTGATGTTGATACGGACTCTGTCGTGAGCCATCCTTATACATTATATGAATATTAATATTACAACAGTATATTCTGCTGTGAAAGTTCTGAGTTCAAGGCTCTGATAGATGTTGTTCGTTCGAGAAGATATTAAGTCCTTTGGTCTTCCACGGTCCACCTCAATATTATAAGGTCTCTAGGTCTCTAAATCCAATTCCTGCTCTTCAACCGGATCGTCTACATGCTCGACTTCTTCCATCGGCAGCAAAAGACGTGATAACGAGGACGATGGGCAATATGCAGACTCTTCCATCGGCAGCAAAAGACCTGATAACGATTGGCAATATGCAGACTTCCGTAAAGTTCTTCGAAAAACGCTAGAGTTTATGGTGCCGAGAAAAATGCGGTCCTCTGGAATGCAAAGAACGCCTTTTGTCATATACTGTGTTGACACAACCACGCATGGTGACTCACATCACAACCAGTCTCTTGTCGTTCGAGAGATTGCGCGGGCAGTAGAACTAGCGAATTACGCAGAAAATTCCAGACAAAATGCCACAGCAAGTAGTGTTTCCTCGAAAATAGCATCTCGCGGACCACATGAAGGTAGTTGTATTCCCAAAAGAATCGCCGTGAGAGTATGGAACATGCGGCCTACGACTCTCCTCAAGAATCAACGTGAAAGTGGTGCCGCAACAAGCGCTGGGAGAAGAGCCTCATTTGCAGCGAGTGTGGAAGATAGGGAGGACGGTCAAGACGAAGGAGAGATAGAGGTGCTGCTGGTCAAAAACTTTGTGGCTTCACGTGACTCGTTTTCACTTTTACGTGTGCTCGATGAGCAGCAGAGTCAAATTCAAAGACAGACAGGAGATGAAGTTACCTCCAGTTCCGAAGGAGGTATTAAGATCAACAAACCACGTCGTATTATCGTTGTATTTGCTACGACAACAGGATTCCAGACTCAGACAGGAGGAGCCACAGGAGCCACTTCTTCTACATCAGCTCTGACGCTTTGTCCACGTCTTGCGGATTACGTGTCACTGCGCTTAGACACTCGCCACTGGAATCAGGTGGACGTGGATCATCGTAGACGCGGCACCGATACTACGAGGTCCATCAAGAATCAAATGGACGTGAACCATCAAACTGCTCACGAGGATGCGTTAGCACTCAGGACCACAACTGCTCTTCCTTCTTCTTCCTCATCTTCTCAGGTAATAAATGAGCATGCGACTCGGATCCTGGAAGTTCTGTGTTCTAGTAGTACTGTTGACGACGACAACGAGGAAAGCCAAAGCATGACATCGGCAAGGAGAATAAGAGCGCTTTGCGATGCACCACTAATTTTGCCATTGCTCCAGTACATCGTGGCGCATCGCATGGACGATGTCGTAGAATCAGCTCGCACATCTACTGTGGGGACATCTTCAAGTGGTGGAAAACAGGGGAAGAACAAGTCCTTTAGCGCAAGCAATAAGGTTAGTGATCTTGGAGTACAAGAACAGCTACGAGAGAGATGTGATGCTCTGATTGCACAGCAACTTCGCGTAATGTTGCAGCGGGAAGAGGATGATGAACAGACGACGACAAGAAGTCTAATTACAACTTCTACAGGCGCTAATGTTAAGGGTACAACAAGAAACCCATCGTCACTGTCATCTTGGCCCCGTTTTTAAAGGGAAAAGGAGACCCAAGATGCTGGTGAGGATGGACCTCCATCGGGTCTAATAATGCGGGCAATTGCACACTTTACCCTCGTCTTGATTTGGATTTTCGAGACGAAGTGATCACACTAAGGGATGCAAATGCAATGATCAACAAAAGCAGCGAAGATAAGGAGGAGGAACAAGATGTCGTTGTCCAAAGGGAGAGACGAGGCCGCCTCGTTGACAGCATTGTTCGCATTGTACACGCTTGCGTGTTACGGGCTCGCCGATGGCAGTGCTGCATGACCTATTTAAGAAGAGTACCAGAGGAACTGAAAAATGAAGGTAGCACGAGCACGACGTCTTCATCTGGAGCAGGGGAAGGAACGCCAGAACTATTGAAGCCCTCACTGAAGAGCCATCATATTCTGCACGCTGTAGCAGAGGAGGAGGAGCAGGTGCGTAGCTTTGTCGAGAAAATAGTACATTCTTCTTGTTCTTGTTCTTGGAAGACTTCGCTTGGTCACCAAGAATCAGAATTACTGGCAGAAAAAGACGAAATCAATGAACAACGAGCTTTTGAGAAAATGACGAAGTCCGTGGTTCATCTGAGAGGGGGGATACGACTTGCATGCGAAAATTTCTTCAGTGATGATGCGCATTACGCCAACGGCGCTCCTTTACGAAATGGTATTGGCAGCGCTGGTGAAGAAGATGAGAATGAGGTAGCTGCTAGTCACGACATGGACGAGGCGGTCGCAGGAGAGCAAGGAGAAAAAACAACAGCGGACGAGGAAGAGGCCATGAGTGTAACTGCTACTGGTAATGAGGAAGGGCAAGAGAAAAGGAGTGCAAACAAGCGCAAAGAAGCCGAGGCAGAGGGGAAGAAAGTATCAGAAGATGCTCGTTCAGCAGTCTTGCAGATCACAGATGAGATAGGAATTACTGTAGTCATCAAGAACAGCCAGCCGTGACGCTGAATCGAGATTGAAGCTGTCAAGCTCTTTATGAACAATCACCTCATACAAGAACCCAAAAAAGATTTAGATTATGAGTACTTTCTTCCAACAAGTTTCAGCTTGTTGTGTACTTAGATTTGATGGATGCGTCGAGAAGATGAACAGTGACAAACTCACAACCACAATGTAGCACACATCATTCATTGGTAGAGAATACTCGTCTTGATGATAGAGATTGATAGTACTTGTACTCATTAGTCAACAAGTAAGGCAAGCACCGGATGAATGCGTCACGACGTAAGATTACCGAGGGTGCAGTAGGAGTAGTAGTATTAATGCCGATTTTGAATTGGATTATCTTTTCGTAATAGGTGAATTTGAAAACAAGCTAGTACTTTTTTCAAGGATCCATTAGTAGGTGGAAACGAACTCCTAGTTTTTTTTCAGAGTACTTTAGATCCACCGTTGATATTGCCTTGTCTCTCTATTTCGACCAAAAGTGCATGCAATTCCAGTTTTCAGTAGTACTGCACGTGCACCAGTGCGAGTAGCAACGAGAGTAGTGACATTGGTCTTTTGAGTTTTTCCACGATGAAGATCCAGCAAAAAGAATGTTTTGCAGATGAGTGTGCAAGTTGAAGCAGGATGCTGCAGTGGGTATTTATAAAACCCCTTTGAACTGGAAGCTTTCTGACTCGGATTGAAAAGAAGCCCTCCTTGTCCTTGTGTGCAAATGCAATCACCTCCGGGTCGAGCACTCTATAATACAAGAAGTATGTAAGAATAACAGTGTTCACCTTCACTCAAGCAATCCCACTGCCACTCGCTTAGGCTTAATAAGGCAGCAGTACAACGACCAGAAAACCCAGCACTGTCGTGTTTCCGCGGACACTTTCGAACACCATTTTTCAAATCCCTCGTTCGGCTTCCAACAACTTTGTCAGGCTCGTCTTTCCCCAAGATATCCATGACTCTTGCTCCTGCGATGATCTTGCCCTTGCGTAAAAACAGTACTCATTTTTTAGATACTTTGCATGTTCATCTTGTTCATCCCGTTCTCAATGCGCATACTCATCATACTCTTCCTTCTTGTCCCGCACTCGCATTCGCGCTTGACGCTAGTGGTTGCGAATTACGAGACACTGCTGTGAAAATTTAACGGAAATTATTACTGTATGGCTCTGGTATTTGGTAACCTGAGTTCGATCCTAAGGGAAAACAAGAAGAGAACCCTTAGGATCAAATTCAGGTTACCAAATACCAGAACCATTCAATTACTCTAGCTACAGTCTACGGTGACAGTTTGGTGCCTGGCTGTGGTTTCAAAAGTGAAAAAGCGAAGTTCTTGTTCTACTAGAACGAGGCTACTTGGGTCTAGTCTTTGTTCTTTGATTTTATTAATTAATGTGAAGGATTGGAATCATGCCATCTTTGGTTTTGCTCATTTTCAGACAGTGGCGTGACACTCGTCAATGTTTAATTTGGTTCAGATATTCTACTTCCAAAATCTGCTTCGTCTACCAGCCGAAATCAAAACAAACCTCCAGAATACAACATGCACAACAAGATTGATCATGTTCTTGAAGAAAGGGACACAACTTTACAACAGGGTACAGGAAACTGAAACAACCAAATACTTACTTCTTAAATAAGTGGGCTATGAAGCTCTCGCTGTGCTAGCCGCGGCGATAAATTCCAACATGCGTGCTTTTGCCAGCACAAAACTACCCTTCGCGCCAGCTTTTTCTAATCCTCCTCACCCAACGACCGAGCCGATACCTCGTAACTCCCATTCCCCAAGCCAAATGCTGACTGTAAAACAGGCAGCATCGATCGCGCTGCGTCTTCACTGGGTTCGTCGCTTGCGTCTCCAGCACCGTCGAGAAAGTTAGAGCGTGCCTTGGGCCTAGGGCTAAGCTAAGTAGTTTGTGGTCTCTGTGACTAAGAGATGTATCTCTGGCTACTAAAAGACAAGACTGCGTGCATCGATACACAAGCAACGCTTGTGCTTCTACTCAGTCATCTGATTCTGACGCCCACAAGTAGCAGTAGCACGACATGTGCGATGGAGCCTTAAATAATGAAATCCGCGGTCACGACGTCTTGCGGGACTTTCTCAGGCCACTCCCCTTCACCTCCGATCCCGTTTTTTCCTCTTGATAGCCAACACTGCTCCCGCCGCCTTAATCGCTCGCGGCAACTGCGACAATCTGAGACGCAATGCGTTTGCGATGTAAGTACTTAGTCAGTCTGCATGTATCATCTTCATCAGCATCGAGCAAGCAGTCAAGGCACCTCCAGGCATAAGTCAGCACCTACCTAGTAGTAGCGCTCCAGTCTACGTATAGACCAAAAAAAGAGAGTGCATTTTTAGACTCCCCCTCCTCCACCTGGCGCCCCCCCCCTGTCCTCGAGACTTACTCTGCGCCTACTCTGATGCCTTGTCGCCCTTACTCAGTACTCCCACCACTTCAATCGCGTGCGACCGGGGACGGCCACGCCTGGCTCCTAGTACTAGTTCTACTATTACTCATAAGGGGCTGGCTTCTAGCTCTACTGTCTGGGCAATGTACTACAAGGACGCACGCGCACTCTTGGACTTTGTACCTTCATGAGATTCAGAAGCCATAGCATTTGGATCGTGATCGATTTCGCCGCGGAGCTTCGTACTGTTAGAGGTATCCACTACTTACCCTTACCCTTGCCTCGTCAGGTAATGCTAATGGCGCCACTGGCTCGCCGTCACTTCATTTACAGCGCTGCCCGCGTCGCTGATGTGAGCAGGCTCTTCGGCTTCTGGAGTGCTTTCCCCTTCAAGACCCCTCGCCGCGTGCATCCGCTACGCTGTATTCTACCAGGAGATACTCTTTCAGACCAGGGCTTTCCTCGCTGCGCCTGCGCCACGTTGTATTTTTTTCGTCTCAGTGCTGTTCCAGCCATGCCTCCTATCGCCGCTGCTGACCGCGCTCCTGGACAGAGGACTGCCTCCCTTGGACGGGTTGTTGCAGTTAAGTAGTCTGCAATCGCAATTCAATAAACTCCGTCTTTACTCGCCAAGTACGGAGGTGTAGTGACACGCTAAGACGCATCGGACCCAGATGAAGAGGGTGATCATAACCCACGCATTTTCTCACTCTACAAGTTAGTTTTATTCTCCAAACCGATCCAGCCTAGAATAAAAGAGAATATCCTAGATCACAGCACTCTCATCCAATTTGCGAACACAACCATGTTCGCCAGCCTGCAAAAGGTAGAAGTAGATTATATTAAAATTAGTCGAGGAGAGCCTGAATACACATAGGACACCGCAACGACAAGTACAAGCACAAAGAAGAAATGATCCACGCAGTCGTGAGGTGAAATTCAAACAAGAGTGCTCT